ATTAACTCTAGAGAGCCTTGTACCCCTGGTTGCCATGGAGCATCATCAGGTCTAGGAAAGTATATGGTCTAAGCAGCCAAGAGCCCAGTGGAGACAGCCTTGCACTGTGAGAGAAAGTGGGGTTTAGCAGAGGGGTTCTTTGGGTGGCAGCCTAGTAGAAATAGTCACCTCTGGAGCTGTGGCTTTGAGTCCTGGCTCTCCAACTTAATATGCCTGTGACCATTGGGGTACTCTTATGCTTCCTAGGCTATCAATAAGATGAGTCAGTAGTCCCTACCTCATTAAGTAGTTGTATGGGTTTAGTGAGATATACTTTTTAAAATTCTTCTCACAGTGCTCAGCACATTGCAAGCCCTTGATAAATGGCCTTGCCTAGCAGTAATGAGATGGTAGCTAGTCAGACTTGTGTGCATGTGGGAGACAGTCCTAAGGAAGTACATGGGGTCTTGGCAAGAAAGGGTTTTCTGTTTGTATTTTTAAAGGCCAATTTGGAAAAAAGGGGTTCAGGACCCCCAGTGCAGGGTGTCTTAGACAATCTTCCTTCCTCGTTTCCTTTGTCCTTTGCTTTACAAGCTTACAGTCCCCTACAGGATTTTGTCTTCATTAGTTTGGGGGAAATTTTTTAAATCACATGCTAGAATCACACTTCCATTGGAATAGGCTCACAGGGGTTCATCTTCCCCAGTTACCTCCATTTCAGTTCTCTGCACCTGCTGTATGTTGACTTTCCCAAACAACAAACACCAGACCTGTAGAAGAAAGTTACTTTATGACATCAAGGTGCTCCTTGTCAGTACAGAAATATGCTTAAAGATTATCCATCTAAATTTGATTTTCTGAAAGCATTGATAAGAAAACACCTTATTTATGCTTTAGTGTTGGTCCAAATAGCAAAAACTGAATAACCTAGATAAATACTTCTGATATATTTCTTATTATTCTTAAATCCCTTTGCCAACTTGTAAACAAATAAATTGTTGACATTTGTCTTCTATATTGTCATGTTCTTGCCCTTCTTCTCTTGTCTCCCCAGACTGCCCCCTCTGTCCTCTGTGGATTCTTTCCCTTTCCCTTGATCACTCACTCTCTGACAGAACCCACCCAGAGCCCTGCTTGCTCTACCATTCCACCCTGTTTTCTGGTTTGCAGTCTTGCTGGAAGAGAAGATTCCTTTTGACTTGACTTTCTTGGTCCCTGTATCCAAGGCAGGGCTGTATTGTTGCTCAGCCCCAGGGGGTATGATTGTTGTTTCAGGTGGCCCTGAGCCAAGGTTTTTAACAAAGACTCTGGTATGACATCACTACCCTACCACCAGCAGAAGTTGCTGGCTCTCTTTGGACCCTAACAGACCACAGAGATTTAAATATGCCTGTTTTTATTTCTTTTTATAATGGAGAAAATGTTCTGTGAAAGTCAGATACACCAATTGGATATTGGATTTTACAAATCCTTTTTCTGCTTTGCACTTATGACCCTGATAAGTCACTTAGAGTCCTAATGTCCTTCAATTTTTGCAATTCTCTTTTATAAAGTATGCTACCCTGAGGATGTAGCTTTGTTTCTGGCCTTATTTCTCATATGTGGGGGAGGACTAGGATGACTTTGAATTCACAAAAAAGGCATATCTATGACAGAACTTTTAATTTCTTCCTTCAGTCACAGATATGATGGAAAATATTGTGAATGCAAGTAACAAAAATCACTAATGTAAATAAGTATGTTTAATATTTTGTATATAATTATAGTATATTTTAAGTATACATAAAAGCAAAAATCTAGTAATGATCTTGACTGATCTTAGACTGAGCCTTAAACCCTAAGTGGAATTCATTATTAGAAGGATAGTGATAAACAGACCCAATGTTATATGAAAGTGGATTTTATTATTGAAGAATTCAGAAAGACCAAACCAGTCATGGTTGTATGTCCCTTTTAAAGTTAATCAGTTGGTATGTCCACCTGTGGAACACCACAAGACAGGGTGCTAAGCAACTACAACTGCACAGACTATGTGGGTACATCTCACAAACCTGGCATTAAGTTGTGGAAGCCAGACACAAAAGAGTATATCCCATGTGACTGCCTTGACATGAAGTTCAAAAATTCACAGAACTGTGCTACTGGAAATCCAGATAGTGGCTACCCTGAGTGAAGGATTGTAGATGGAGGAGGGGGTATGAAAAGAGCTTCCTGAGGCAAGGTGTTGTATTATCTGTACTTCAATGCTGGTCACATAGGTATGTTCATTTTGTGAAAATTTGTTAGGCTGTACTTTTATGATGGCTGCTGTTTTCCATGCATATATCTCAACTTAAAATTAACTCATCAAAATCCATTGTCAGAGTCACATTTCATCACTCCTAAGCTTGGCAGTATGCCACCAATGATTGGAACTGCAATGAAAAATGAGACACTATCTGTGACCTCAAGAATCTTCTGAAATTTTGGTTCTGTCTTCTTCCATCTCCAGCCCTTGTCCTAATCCTATTCCTTGGTTTTGTCATTCACCAGAACTTAATTAGTCACTTCAGTATGTGTCTCAGGACCCACCCAACAAAGACAATGCCTGATCTGATAGGTCTGGGATGATTTTGAGTGCACTGTAAAGATCACTTCCTGATCATACACGTTCTCTGTACTCTGGAAGCAGTCTCTGTAAAGGAAGCAAAGCTACCCTGTATTCCTCCTGCTAGGCAGAGATTTGGTTCACAGAGAGACAGCTCTTCTGTAATGTTTAGAAGTGGCCAGATCAAATCTTCTATCTCGAGTTTTCATCAGGCCGTGCTAATGAGTTTATTCAAAGAAAAAAAAAGCATTACCTGAATTTGACTTATGGTTCTTTTTTAATAGCCATTTTCTGGTAGGGAAGTGTCTCCAATACTTCTTTTTCTTTTATTTATATTTTTAACTTCTCGTTATACCCTTCAGGCTTTATTGGTCCTTTAAAGGAACCCTGCTTTGTGAACTAATTATGACAAATGTTGATACAACATCTGTTCCCAGACTTAAATTGCCTCCTGGTCTTTCCGAGTTCATCTGGAAGGCAAGTTTTTTGTAGTCTGCATATTAACACACCCTATGGGGTACCAGAAGCAGGAGCCACCCTGGAGTTCCTATGAAACAGAGGTCCCCTTTGTCCCTGCATTAAACTGTGGAAGAATCACAGCTCCATACACAAGTGGACAAGCTCCTTGTCTTGCTCATTCAAAATCATTTCACTCTTAATCTACCAAAACAATCAAGTGTGCACATGCATTTTATCGCATACCTTGGCTGCTTCAGTGTAGTCTACAGTATTTCCTGGTAAACATGTTTAATGTGATTTGAGTCTTGCTAGAGTTGATATTCTCAAGGTTGCCTCCCCTAGGAAAGGTAAAGTCATGTTTCCTTTTGTCCCTATAATGCAAATAACCACTAGCATTTCATTCTTCATTCTTTAGTAGTTGATTGTGGCCTTTTCTTACCTCTACCTTTAGAGAATGTGTAGTTTAAGGCCTGGGAATGTAGCTCAGCAGTAAAGTGCTTGCCTAGCAAGGCCTAGATTTGATCCCTATTACTACCACTAAAAAATTAATCAGTCAACAAGAATGCAGTTTATTGTGCATCAGCTTTACTTCTATAAAATGTAAAAAACTAATGTTAGAAGACATTTGGAAACTGTAAGTTATACAAATGTTGTTATTAGTAATCCTAATAATAGTTAACCTGCTTTCCTTGATCTGAGTGGCTTCTTTCTGAAGTACATTTCAGGTTGGCAATTCATAAAGGTAGCTGAGTTTTACTGCTCCAGGACAAGGTTTCTCAACTGTGGCATTGATGACATTTGGGGCCAGATAATTCTTTGTTCTAGGGCTTGTCCCTACATTTTAGGTTGTTACCAGAACCCTTGGACTCTACCCACTGGATGCATCCCTCAACACACAGTGTAATAGTAAACAGTGTCTCCAAACATTGCCTAATGTCCCCTGTGGTAGAGAATTACCCCTGGCTGAGAATCACTGCTTTAGGAGTAGATCTCATTTCTTAGGCATTTTTTATTATAGTCCAGAGCTGTTATGTTTAATTTCTAAGTTTGTGCCAGGATTATTTATATTTAAATAAACTGAAACAATAACATGGTGTAGGTCCAACACCTTCCCCCCACTCTGTTTTCTATAATAAATGAGATTTGCCTGACCTAAATTGTGTGAACTCTCTCCATTCATCAGCTTCTTTAATACATCCTCCAGCACCCACATCTGATTTTTACTCCCAGCCTCTCAGAGCCTGGTTTTAGACATGCTTTGCTTCCTCAGTTCCAGAAAAAATGGATAAGGTTGTGACAAGCACCTTCAGCAGGGAAGGGCAAGAGCAATTCACCTTAATGAGAATTTCTTATTGTCAATGAGTATTGGATTTACAAAATGATCTGTAATATCAGTGCTTGGAGCTGGTCCTTCTGAATCCCCATTTCTTTCCCTTTATTTTATAAGAAGATTCAAAGCAGAGACTGACTGCACAATTTTAAAATGCCAGTAGGTCGCATGTTTAACATTGCACATATGAGTACATATTCCCCCCCACTGCCTTTTTTTTTTCCTGTTGGTCAGCTGTGTAATGAGAAACTTGGAAGGAAATGTCTTTTTTAAAGTAGAATACTGACTAATAACACTGTTGGTATGAAGTAGATCCCCTGTGCCAGGCAAATTGACATTCCTCTGGGCATTGGCTACAGGTAGACCTGAGGTGGTATTACTGTGAATCAGACCTAGCCCCAAAAATTTCTACCGTGGACATGGATATCATGACTCTGTTGTCTCTGCTTGGTCTGATGATACCTAAGGTGGTCAAGGACCTTCCTCCAATGATGTATTCCTCAGAGCATTCCCTGTAGGGCTTGTTTATGCAATAATTGTGTGCATCCAGGTGGATTAAGAGTTGTTACTGGACATTTCTGTTCCTCTCCTTGACACCACCCAGCAATATCTTGACGATGTTCTTCACTCTTGTCTCTTCCTCAGAAATACCTCAGGAACTTTTTCAGTGTGATGCTCCAGTCTGCCACATCTCCCCTCCACATCAACAAAGTGGGGCTTACCCTTTCAAAACACACCATTTGTGAATTCTCACCGTTCTTCAAGAAAGGAGTTTTTGACTACAGCAGCCATGGAACGGGGTAGAGCTGGGTGACAGAGGAACCACCAACCCAGTGCCTTCCTGTGAAGCGCCTCCAATGCAGGGCAGCCTCCCACACCAGGATCCCAGCCCATCCCCTCCTGCAAAAGGTGGATGTGCAGCAGCCAGCCCCGGACCACCTCACTCATCATACCTAGTGCCTGAGTTTGGGAATGGACACATTGCCTGCTGACAGTGACCCTGACAGGCAGCTGTTACTGTTCCACTGCAGTTGAACGTGGCCTTTTCCCATAGTGCTTCTTTCTCATTATGCAGTAAGTCCATCCCCTGTGGTGAGATGGATGTGGCTTTCTTATCTTGGGTTCCCTGAGCCAAGCCAACCTGGGACCTCCCAGAGTGGGCAGCTTACAAGACCACCCCTAAATGACTTTCATGTGGTTTCCTCCTTCTCCAAAACATACTTTTATTTTTTATATCCCTTCCCTGTGCCCATCTATAGCCCAAGAAAAGCATTTTAAATTATTTTATTGTACTTTTTTCTTTTATTCCCCTCATTTGGATTGTAACTTTTATATACAATACCTAAACACTGATGTTTACACAGAATTTCATATTCTGCAAAAGGGATTTTTAGTCCAATCATGACTAGAGTCTTCCATGCCTGACAAATTGGATGTAGGCTACATCACTTAAACTTCTGTAAATCCCTACAAAAAGGACACTGTTTAACCTTGAATATTTGAGGACATTTTCCCAAATCTCAATGGCTACTGTGCATTCTTGAGCTTTCTCTGCTAAGCACAAAACAAGCGCAAAGCTGGGTGCATATTTTAAAGCATTATTTTGTTCACATTTTTGTTACAGAATCTAGTAGATCTTTGGCTGAAAAACTAGAATTTATAAGTAGTTTATTAATAATCCCTAAATTACTCAGGATTTAATGTAGCACTGCACATCAATGTACAGTGAAACTCCTTTGTTTTACTAAAGAGAAAAATGTGAGTATAAAATATGTGGTATATATTGAAATGTATATAATTATACCTAAAGATTTATATATGTACACACTCCTGTACAATAGTTGTATCAAACCATATAATCATTCACAACAAATTTATTAAATGTATTTGCTTTTTCACAATTAAAATTGAGCTGCTATCATTGTTAAATGAAGTGATGGAATCTGCCCAGTACGTCAGTTTAAGTTTGTTATATGACTATTCCTGCCTGTCTGTTTAAAATTAGATCTAATGTGCTTGGAAAGATGCATAATGTATAGGTTAGAATTTGTGTTATAGAAGATACAGTTATAGTAGTTATAGTAGTGGTTGAAGTCACAAATGAGTGACTAACAGAACACATTTGCATTCAGTCTTCTAGAATATGCCTGCACTACAGAGATCTCCAACCTCACCAGTGTTTAAAGATGCAATTATCCCTATAAGATGGAAATAATTAAATGTCATAGTTTAGCATGAAGAAAATAAGAGCTTTTTTAAGTTGCTGCAGAAAGACCTGCTTCTGTCTTTACTTATGATTACAGTTGTAGGTTTAGGAGAAATTACTACCAAGAATTAAAAATTAAAGATTAGAGGATAAAAACTGTGGAGATAATAATTAACCATAGGTCCCTTAACTTAAAAGGAGTCCAAGTGCTAAAGACTGTCCCTCATTTGCCAAGTAAATGGTTTTCTTCAACTGACCAGATAATCTGTCTCTTGCCCTTTTGGACCAATACTAGAGGCTGGACTCATGGCAAGCATTTTGTTAAAATAACACAGAATGCTTGATAAGAACAAATAGTCATCTATGTAAGAAGCACAGTAATTAGAAGATTCTTCTATACCAATCCACACTTTATGTAACTATTACTGCACTTAGAGCACCAGTGCTAGCTAGAGCTGACTAACGCAGCAAAGCCATCAGTAAGTTATTTCACCTCTCTGGTCCTCAGTCTCCCCATTTGAAAATGAAGCTGTTGTACTTGGATGATGCAAGGTTCCTTTCTGACCCATAATTACAGCAGAAGAATAGTCTATTTTAGCTGGCCCAGTTTCAGTTCTGCGTATGTGCATGTGAACTACATGCAGCTGAATCTGAATAAAACATGGTAAGTAGAAAACCAAATGAAAAGTCACATCTAAACAAATAATGGAGTTCCTTTTTTGGGACAAAGATAAAACATACAGCAAGGCTAGAATGACAAACTTGAAACTTCATCTATTTGGACTAATTTCAAAGGTAAAGGAAAATTAGCAAATGTGTATTGTATCCTTTACTTTCCACTGCATCAAATAGCAGAGTAACACCAAACTGGCCACTGTGGCAATCCACATTAGCTAACCACCCACTCATTCTTCTGTAGTTAATCAGACAAATCTAAGGAACTTAAACAGAATTCTTTTTTAAAGTACTTTAAACATTCCCTCCTTAGTGTTTCTTGTAAAATAAATATGTGCACCAATCTTATTTTAAATCACAATATAACCTTCAATCCAGTTCTCACTTAGATCTTGCTGTTTCTAAATTAAATTCAAACTCAATCCTGTGATTAATTTAGGCAGGTGATAGGGTGCAACCAAGTCATGCTGGCACACCAATGACTGACATCTAGAAAATTCTCTGGTCCATAATGCGGAGATGCTTTAAGACACATGAACAGGATACCTGGTCCCACGGACACCTCAATTTTACATTTTTATGCAAATTTACAATTTAAGCAGAAATTTTACATTTCATGCAAATAAGAGCTAGTTCTGCCCCATTTAACATCTGATCTACCCCCTCAGAGCTCCAGATAGCATATACATCAGTGTCTGGGCAGAAACAACCAGAACCTTTCACAGATTAGATCATTGCATGAACTAAGAAGGGAGGCCCACACAGAGGAACTGCTGTGACCTATAGTTCCCAGCCTTGGAGCAGGTGTGCACTGGTCGGTGTTCTGGGTTCAACTGTTAAAATGAGATTTCTCTATTTCTAGAGGCATCTCTGTCAGCCCCCTGTCACATGACCCTGTTTCTTCTCCATCAGCCCCCAGTCATGTGACCTGTTTGCTGGTTTTGAGAGATCAAGAACAGTGTTCTGTTGTGATGTGGCTCCTTATTACTTATCTTCAGAGCGTGCCACAAAGCCAAGCCACATCCCTCCAAGAAAATGCAGGTAGCAATTTAAGCCTGTTGTGAACAGTGACACTTAGTCACATCTGCTTCAAACAGTACCATTAGGTTTTTAAATACAGTGTCTTCAGGTGCTTAAAATAGTCCCAGAGGTATCATTAGTCAACAATGGAACACTTCTGCCACTGAGACTTTCCCATACATACATACATACACACACACACACACACACACCCTCTGGGAGTGGTTCCAATGGGACTTCATTGGAATTTTTACCATATATTTATTTATTTAAAATAAAAGATGAGGAATATGGAAAATTTAGGTAAAATAACTCCATGACAAAATTAACTGCTTCAATTGTATTTGGATTGTCATGACAGGCAATATATGTTTTGGGGAAACTAATTAAAGATCATTAACCTGTGGAGACTTATTCTTGACAAGATTTGTGAATTACTCCTTTTAATAACAAGTTCTTTCTATGTACTTACAAGAAGGCCTGTTACTAACTTACTTTTAGTTTTTTATGTTTTCTGTTGAAGCTTCTTTTTCTGATGACAATTCATTAAGGGAGGATAATTGTAGTGCACATAGGGACTTACTTCCAAGTTGAAAACAAATTACATGCTACTATGAATTTCCAAAGTATACTATTTCATTTGGATCCTGTAGTGGTGCCTGGAAGTTAGAGGAGTGATACTACTAGTAGCCAGGTTGTCACCTTCAGAATGATGCTTTTTATTTGGCTAGTCAGTAGAACCTATTAAATTTTTTGAGTGGCAGGAGGGACAGAAAGGTCCCTCAAGGGATCAAGGGTGTGAGTTCATCCTTTGCCAATAGCATGCACTTACCACTATGGAGCTCAAACACTAGCCTCTGGCATAGTCCCCTAAGCTTATCCCATGTCTCTCTAGAAGGTTCTCTCTTCTGTATATCTCTTGCAAAATAGCTTAAATACCAAATATCCTTTCCTTGACAATATGCATTTAGTGCCCTTTTATTGAAATGGAAGAATGAGATGTTTATCCTAAGGATCACCTCTCCAAACACTGACTTCTGTAGAAATTTACGATTCATTGACTTAGTTTTTGTACCTTCTCTAGTGCTATTAGGCAGGATCTACCCCATTTAGAAAGAGGAGTAGACAGTTTTGCAGAAAGATGCATCAGCCCTAAGTATTGAAGGCAGAAAGTATACTAGGTACAAAATGGAAAATATGTAAAAGAAAATGCAAAAAAATTCCACCAGCTTATTTATGGTATTGTTTGGTAACATTAATGCAGGTCACTGGGAAGAGAGAAACCTCTCTTCAGAATTTAAACCTGGGGGAAAAAAATAAATGAAACATACAGTTAAACAACCTCAACTGCCTGAAAGTAGAGTTATTTTCCTCACAGTGTTACAGGACTCCTTATGTATAGTTAATGTACGCAGAAGTGTTTATGTCTTTCCAGTAGCATAGTTGTGCCTGAGAGCATCTCACTAAAGAATAGCCTGCAGGGGTGCTATTCCTGAGACTCCATCATTCTTTTTCAGTCTTAAGGAAGAAAGGAAGGGAGGAAGGGAAGGAGGGAAGGAGGAAAGGGGAAGTGACAATGGACTGCAACTGCTTCTTCAAAGCTGCCAGAACTATCTTCAGAGGAAAGAATCACACTGAACAAATACAAGTTTATGAAATTAAGAGTTTGTTGTTCAATTTGCATTCAGGTTGATGCCTAAACTCATGTTAGTTCTTTTCCTAAGAACATAAGCTAGAAACCATGGAAAAGGAAAGGTGTGGCTGCCATCATAAATGACTTTTTTGGTGAGTGTTCTAAGCTTGCTTTCAATTAATATAATAAGAAAAGTTGATCCAGACAGTAAAAGCTTCTTGCTATTAAAATCTTGACTATTTATCCTTTACAAATGAATGAGGAAGAAGTGTTTAAATTTATAAAGCATTTTCAGTGCCTTCTAATACTAGTCTCCAGTGCACCCACATGTAGAGTTGTTTTTTAGTAAAGAATTTCTCATCAAAGAGGAAAGTTCCCTTGAGGGTTTAGGATATGTTGTGTTCCTGGTTGACTCCTTGTTTGAAGAGGAATCAAATTGCTTATGTGTGCAGCTCTGACTAGAAACACCGGTGCCAACTGGGCAGCCCCTGCATGCCTCTGATCTGCCCCTGTTAAAGGCACATTGTGTGCCATTCTCCTCCCCTGCCTTCCATGCCCCACCATTATTTTGTACCCCTTTGGAGTTGATGAAGGGACATTGAGGTAACACATTAAGGTAAGCAAAGTTTTTGAAGTTGTCAGGACTATCTTCAGAGAAAAGAGACATAGTGAACCAGTTTGTGAGGATTTAGGAGGGTTTTGTTTAATCTGCACTTTGGTTGAAGTCACCCATATAAACTCATGTCATTGTCACCTCTCTGGGCCCCCACCTGAAGTGGGGATAGATGAGTCAGACCAAACTCTGGCCATTGTCATGGCCCCATTGATCACATGCTTGGGCACAAGGACTTCACCAAGGGAGAGCTGGCTGTGTTTTCATTCTTGTTAGAAAGCCAAGTGTTCATCATTGGG